AAGTATTCACATTGTTTTCAGCCTCTCCTCAGAGGTGGCAAGTTCTTTTAAAACATGTTAATATTACTCTGACATCGTGGTCAGACGTCAGATGGGAAAGCCGAGTAAAAAGTGTGGAGGCAATTAGATATCAACCTCCGCAACTCAAAGAAGCGCTTTTGGAGCACAGAGAATCTGCAACTGACCCTGTCGTCAAAGTTGAGGCTTAATCGTTGGCAGAGGAAGTAGGGTCATACCGTTTTGTCATTTGTTCAGTTGTGTGGTATGATATACTCAGCAAAATTCAGCACGTGAGCAAACTAATGCAGTCGACTACGATACAGCTCGGCGTGGCTGTAGATCTGCTCAAAAAGACCAGAGATGATATTGTCAGCTACAGAAATACAGGTTTTGCTGATGCACTAACTATTGCTAAAGAAATCTGTGAAGCGATGAGCGTAGACACGGTGCTGAAACAGAAGACTAAGAACTAAAAAATGTCACTTTAGCTATGAGTGTGCAGACGAACCTGTCAGCGATGTACTCAAGAGGATGGAGACTACATTTTTCAATGTGGTAGTGGATACCGTGATTTCCTCTAATGAGAGAGGTTCAAGACCCTACGCAGGTGAATGAAAGTTCAAGATATTGTTAGTTCCAACATGTCTGACAAAGATATTGTCGGAACACATAAGCGCAGGAATCCTTTATTCACAACTACTGTGATCGTGCTACTGATGTCACAAATAAATCTCTACAAAACAACCCCACCAAAGATAAATTCAATTAACACCCTTCCAGAGCAAAAGGGGTAAACATTGGACACATAAATGCCTCGATACTTCTTAAATGGATACTCACCAAAATAAATAATCGGCAGTAGTATCGGTGACTCACTCAGAAAATTAAGTATCTCTAAAGAGGACAATACAAACTTTCAATTCACAAAGTACTCATAGCAATTCTCAAAATAAAATACTTGATGATACTTGACGAGAATGTCTCAAGAAAATATAACTCTGTAGCTTTCACGGATGATTAACACAAAGCGGATTTTCTGTACTCACAAGAATTCACTGTCTTTTTCAATTATCTTGACACTGTGTTAACACTACACAATTTACTCTGTGCTTTACTCACAATTGGTGGTCCTTACATGTACAGAGGGTGCTTCCAGCAATTCATTTTCAGAGATTGTATGTCTTAGATGTCCATTTCACCACAGAGTCCTCAACCCACTCAATACTATGGCTGAAAATACACCGGAATTTGTTCTCAAATACATATAATCTCTTTACCAACAATGCATATCAGTCTACACTGTAAGAAATGGTAAGGCGCTATGTAATAAAATTCTCCGTTAAATAAAAACAGGTTGAAAAATACAACAATGAAAAATTTAACACCAAACTTGTGTTATCTCAATAAATTCCATGGTAACAAATTGACTCCAACTGAGAACTAGTCATTTGCTCAGCACACATGAAAGTAACATAGAACACACTAAAAAAACCATGACAACATAGAAGGAACTGGAGGTCAACATTGCAAGTGGAAGGACGATAGACAGACGGGAAATGGAAATGTTAATGGCTGAGTGGAACGGGTGGCGCCAAGTCCTCACTAGACTAATGGCGATTATTCAGTCTCTAGCTGAAAGCAATTTGGCTCTAGAGGGTCAACCGAAAAACTTAACTGTCAATCCAATGGTATTTTTCTCCAAGAAGTGGAACTTTTGGTTAAATTTGATCGTTATGGAGAATCATTTAAGTAGGGTTGAAAGTAATGCAGGCAATCACAGTCACACTCACTACCTTGGGGTTCCTGGAGGTAGAGAAGCGTCTACAGGGCTAAATTTGTCATGAATTCTACCGAAGACAAACAATGAATACTTTGAGGATTATCATGGGCTCAACCCCACTCTACAATGAAGCAAATACCATGAGAGGAAACATCAAAGGAGTTCAAGCCAGGCTTCTTCAACAGAATTCTCGGCCCTTATTTGTCCCTTGTGGTGCCCATAATTTGAATTTTATATTAGGTGACGCTGCCAAGAGCTCCCTAAATGCAACTTGTTACTTTGGATATTTAACGAAAGTATTCACATTGTTTTCAGCCTCTCCTCAGAGGTGGCAAGTTCTTTTAAAACATGTTAATATTACTCTGAAATCGTGGTCAGACGTGAGATGGGAAAGCCGAGTAAAAAGTGTGGAGGCAATTAGATATCAACCTCCGCAACTCAAAGAAGCGCTTTTGGAGCACAGAGAATCTGCAACTGACCCTGTCGTCAAAGTTGAGGCTTAATCGTTGGCAGAGGAAGTAGGGTCATACCGTTTTGTCATTTGTTCAGTTGTGTGGTATGATATACTCAGCAAAATTCAGCACGTGAGCAAACTAATGCAGTCGACTACGATACAGCTCGGCGTGGCTGTAGATCTGCTCAAAAAGACCAGAGATGATATTGTCAGCTACAGAAATACAGGTTTTGCTGATGCACTAACTATTGCTAAAGAAATCTGTGAAGCGATGAGCGTAGACACGGTGCTGAAACAGAAGACTAAGAACTAAAAAATGTCACTTTAGCTATGAGTGTGCAGACGAACCTGTCAGCGATGTACTCAAGAGGATGGAGACTACATTTTTCAATGTGGTAGTGGATACTGTGATTTCCTCTCTTAATGAGAGGTTCAAGACCTTGGGCGAGGTGAATGAAAAGTTCAAGGTATTGTTGGGGTTCACGGACATGTCTGACAAAGATATTGTCGGAACTCACACATAAGTTGTAACTTATTCACAACTACTGTGATCATCGTGCGCTGATGTCACAACAAATCTTCTACAAAACAACCCCACCAAAGATAAATTCAATTAACACCCTTCCAGAGCAAAGGGGGTAAACATTGACACATAAATGCCTCGGATACTTCTTAAATGGATACTCACCAAAATAAATAATCGGCAGTAGTATCGGTGACTCACTCAGAAAATTAAGTATCTCTAAAGAGGACAATACAAACTTTCAATTCACAAAGTACTCATAGCAATGCTCAAAATAAAATACTTGATGATACTTGACGAGAATGTCTCAAGAAAATATAACTCTGTAGCTTTCACGGATGATTAACACAAAGCGGATTTTCTGTACTCACAAGAATTCACTGTCTTTTTCAATTATCTTGACACTGTGTTAACACTACACAATTTACTCTGTGCTTTACTCACAATTGGTGGTCCTTACATGTACAGAGGGTGCTTCCAGCAATTCATTTTCAGAGATTGTATGTCTTAGATGTCCATTTCACCACAGAGTCCTCAACCCACTCAATACTATGGCTGAAAATACACCGGAATTAGTTCTCAAATACATATAACCTCTTTACCAACAATGCATATCAGTCTACACTGTAAGAAATGGTAAGGCGCTATGTAATAAAATTCTCCGTTAAATAAAAACAGGTTGAAAAATACAACAATGAAAAATTTAACACCAAACTCAGAAAGCATTTCAACAATTCAATGGTAAATAAATTGACTCCAACTGAGAACTAGTCATCACCAGCACACATGAAAGTAGCATAGAACACACTAAAAACATGACAACATGGAAGGAACTGGAGGTCAACATTGTAAGAGGAAGGACGATAGACCGACGGGAATTGGAAATATTAATGGCTGAGTGGAACAGGTGGCGCCAAGCCCTCACTAGTCTAGTGGGGATTATTCAGTCTTTAGCTGAAAGAAATTTGGCTCCAAGAGGGTCAACCGAAAAACTTAACTGTCCATCCAATGGTCTCCAAATAGTGGAACTTTTGGCTAAATTTGATCCAGTTATGAAGAATCGTTGAAAGTAATGCAGGCAATGCAGGCAATCACAGTCACACTCACTACCTTGGGGTTCCTTGAGGTAGAGAAGTCTGGGGGCTAAATTTGTCATGAATTCTACTCAGAAGACAAACAAATGAACATTTCTTTGAGGATTATGCGAGGTCAATCCTCGACAATGAAGCAAATATGAGGAGAAACATCAAGGTTCAAGCCAGGCTTCTTCAGCAGAATTCGGCCCATATTATTTGTCCCTTGTGGTGCCCATAATTTGAATTTTATATTAGGTAGCTGCCAGAGAGCTCCCTAGAAATGCAACTTGTTACTTTGGATGTTGCGAAATATTCACATTGTTTTCAGCCTCTCTCCTCAGAGGTGGCAAGTTCTTTAAAAACATGTTAATATTACTCTGAAATCGTGGTCAGACGTCAGATGGGAAAGTCGAGTAAAAAGTGTGGAGGCAATTAGATATCAACCTGCGCAAATCAGAGAAGCGCTTTTGGAGCTCAGAGAATCTGCAACTGACCCTGCCATCAAAGTTGAGGCTCATTCGTTGGCAGAGGACGTAGGGTCATACAGTTTTGTCATTTGCTCAGTTGTGCGGTATGATATGCTCAGCAAAATTCAGCACGTGAGCAAACTAATGCAGTCGACTACGATGCAGCTTGGCGTGGCTGTAGATCTGCTTATCGGCAAGAAGACCAGAGATAATATTGTCAGCTACAGAAATACAGGTTTTGCTGATGCATTAACTATTGCTAAAGAAATCTGTGAAGCGATGAACATAGACACCGTGCTGAAACAGAAGAGACTAAGAACTAAAAAATGCCACTTTACCTAAGAGTGTACAGACGAACCTGTCAGCGATGCACTCAAGAGGAATGGAGACTACATTTTTCAATGTGGTAGTGGACACTGCGATTTCCTCTCTTAATGAGAGGTTCAAGACCTTGGGGGAGGTGAATGAAAAGTTCAAGGTATTGTCAGGGTTCACGGACATGTCTGACAAAAGATATTGCGGAACTCACACATAAGTTGTAACTTATTCACAACTACTGTGATCATTGTGCGCCGATGTCACAACAAATCTTCTACAAAACAACCCCACCAAAGATAAATTCAATTAACACCCTTCCAGAGCAAAGGGGGTAAACGTTAACACATAAATGCCTTGGATACTTTTTAAATGGATACTCACCAAAAATAAGTAACCGGCAATAGCATTGGTGACTCACTCAGAAAATTAAGTATCTCTAAAGACAACACTACAAGGTTTCAATTCACACAGTACTCATAGCAATGCTCAAAATAATATACTTGATGATACTTGACGAGAATGTCTCAAGAAAATATAACTCTGTAGATTTCACGGATGATTAACACAAAGCGGATTTTCTGTACTCACAAGAATTCACTGTCTTTTTCAATTATCTTGACACTGTGTTTACACTACACAATTTACTCTGTGCTTTACTCACAATTGGTGGTCCTTACATGTACAGAGGGTGTTTCCAGCAATCCATTTTCAGAGATTGTATGTCTTAGATGTCCATTTCACCACAGAGTCCTCAACCCAATCAATACTATGGCTGAAAATACACCGGAATTAGTTCTCAAATACATATAACCTCTTTACCAACAATGCATATCAGTCTACACTGTAAGAAATGGTAAGGCAGTATGTAATAAAATTCTCCGTTAAAAAAAAAACAGGTTGAAAAATACAACACTGAAAAATTTAACACCAAACTTGTGTTATCTCAATAAATTCAATGGTAACAAATTGACTCCAACTGAGAACTGATCATTTGCTCAGCACATGAAAGTAACATAGACACCACGAAAAAACATGACATACCACAGAAGGAACTGGAGGTCAACATTGCAAGTGGAAGGGCGATAGACAGGCGGAAATGGAAATGTTAATGGCTGAAATGAGCGGGTGAAGCGCCAAAGTCCTCACTAGACTAATGGCGTTGTTCAGTCTCTGGCTGAAAACAATTTGGCTCTAGAAGGGTCAACCCGAAAAACTTAACTGTCAAATAATGGTAATTTTCTCCAAGTGGAACTTTAAGTAGGGTTGAAAGTAATGCAGGCAATCTGATCACTACCTTGGGGTTCCTTGAGGTAGAGAAGTCTACAGGGCTAAATTTGTCATGACTTCTACTCGGAAGACAAACAAATGAACATTTCTTTTGAGGATTATCGAGGTCAATCCTACGACAATGAAGCAAATATGAGAGGAAACATCAAAGGAGTTCAAGCCAGGCTTCAACAGAATTCTCGGGCCTTATTTGACCCTTGTGGTGCCCATAATTTGAATTTGATATTAGGCGACGCTGCCAAGAGCTCCCTAAATGCAACTTGTTACTTTGGATATTTAACGAAAGAATTCACATTGTTTTCAGTCTCCTCAGAGGTGGCAAGTTCTTTTAAACATGTTAATATCAATCTGAAACCGTGGTCAGACGTCAGATGGGAAAGCCGAGTAAAAAGTGTGGAGGCAATTAGATATCAACCTGCGCAAATCAAAGAAGCGCTTTTGGAGCACAGAGAATCTGCAACTGACCCTGTCGTCAAAGTTGAGGCTTAATCGTTGGCAGAGGAAGTAGGGTCATACCGTTTTGTCATTTGTTCAGTTGTGTGGTATGATATACTCAGCAAAATTCAGCACGTGAGCAAACTAATGCAGTCGACTACGATACAGCTCGGCGTGGCTGTAGATCTGCTCAAAAAGACCAGAGATGATATTGTCAGCTACAGAAATACAGGTTTTGCTGATGCACTAACTATTGCTAAAGAAATCTGTGAAGCGATGAGCGTAGACACGGTGCTGAAACAGAAGACTAAGAACTAAAAAATGTCACTTTAGCTATGAGTGTGCAGACGAACCTGTCAGCGATGTACTCAAGAGGATGGAGACTACATTTTTCAATGTGGTAGTGGATACTGTGATTTCCTCTCTTAATGAGAGGTTCAAGACCTTGGGCGAGGTGAATGAAAAGTTCAAGATATTGTTGGGGTTCACGGACATGTCTGACAAAGATATTGTCGGAACTCACACATAAGTTGTAACTTATTCACAACTACTGTGATCATCGTGCGCTGATGTCACAACAAATCTTCTACAAAACAACCCCACCAAAGATAAATTCAATTAACACCCTTCCAGAGCAAAGGGGGTAAACATTGACACATAAATGCCTCGGATACTTCTTAAATGGATACTCACCAAAATAAATAATCGGCAGTAGTATCGGTGACTCACTCAGAAAATTAAGTATCTCTAAAGAGGACAATACAAACTTTCAATTCACAAAGTACTCATAGCAATGCTCAAAATAAAATACTTGATACTTGACGAGAATGTCTCAAGAAAATATAACTCTGTAGCTTTCACGGATGATTAACACAAAGCGGATTTTCTGTACTCACAAGAATTCACTGTCTTTTTCAATTATCTTGACACTGTGTTAACACTACACAATTTACTCTGTGCTTTACTCACAATTGGTGGTCCTTACATGTACAGAGGGTGCTTCCAGCAATTCATTTTCAGAGATTGTATGTCTTAGATGTCCATTTCACCACAGAGTCCTCAACCCACTCAATACTATGGCTGAAAATACACCGGAATTAGTTCTCAAATACATATAACCTCTTTACCAACAATGCATATCAGTCTACACTGTAAGAAATGGTAAGGCGCTATGTAATAAAATTCTCCGTTAAATAAAAACAGGTTGAAAAATACAACAATGAAAAATTTAACACCAAACTTGTGTTATCTCAATAAATTCAATGGTAACAAATTGACTCCAACTGAGAACTAGTCATTTGCTCAGCACACATGAAAGTAACATAGAACACACTAAAAAAAACATGACAACATAGAAGGAACTGGAGGTCAACATTGCAAGTGGAAGGACGATAGACAGACGGGAAATGGAAATGTTAATGGCTGAGTGGAACGGGTGGCGCCAAGTCCTCACTAGACTAATGGCGATTATTCAGTCTCTAGCTGAAAGCAATTTGGCTCTAGAGGGTCAGCCGAAAAACTTAACTGTCAATCCAATGGTAATTTTCTCCAAGAAGTGGAACTTTAAGTAGGGTTGAAAGTAATGCAGGCAATCACAGTCACACTACCTTGGGGTTCCTTGAGGTAGAGAAGTCTACAGGGCTAAATTTGTCATGAATTCTACTCGGAAGACAAACAAATGAACATTTCTTTTGAGGATTATCGAGGTCAATCCTACGACAATGAAGCAAATATGAGAGGAAACATCAAAGGAGTTCAAGCCAGGCTTCTTCAACAGAATTCTCGGCCCTTATTTGTCCCTTGTGGTGCCCATAATTTGAATTTTATATTAGGTGACGCTGCCAAGAGCTCCCTAAATGCAACTTGTTACTTTGGATATTTAACGAAAGTATTCACATTGTTTTCAGCCTCTCCTCAGAGGTGGCAAGTTCTTTTAAAACATGTTAATATTACTCTGAAATCGTGGTCAGACGTCAGATGGGAAAGCCGAGTAAAAAGTGTGGAGGCAATTAGATATCAACCTCCGCAACTCAAAGAAGCGCTTTTGGAGCACAGAGAATCTGCAACTGACCCTGTCGTCAAAGTTGAGGCTTAATCGTTGGCAGAGGAAGTAGGGTCATACCGTTTTGTCATTTGTTCAGTTGTGTGGTATGATATACTCAGCAAAATTCAGCACGTGAGCAAACTAATGCAGTCGACTACGATACAGCTCGGCGTGGCTGTAGATCTGCTCAAAAAGACCAGAGATGATATTGTCAGCTACAGAAATACAGGTTTTGCTGATGCACTAACTATTGCTAAAGAAATCTGTGAAGCGATGAGCGTAGACACGGTGCTGAAACAGAAGACTAAGAACTAAAAAATGTCACTTTAGCTATGAGTGTGCAGACGAACCTGTCAGCGATGTACTCAAGAGGATGGAGACTACATTTTTCAATGTGGTAGTGGATACTGTGATTTCCTCTCTTAATGAGAGGTTCAAGACCTTGGGCGAGGTGAATGAAAAGTTCAAGGTATTGTTGGGGTTCACGGACATGTCTGACAAAGATATTGTCGGAACTCACACATAAGTTGTAACTTATTCACAACTACTGTGATCATCGTGCGCTGATGTCACAACAAATCTTCTACAAAACAACCCCACCAAAGATAAATTCAATTAACACCCTTCCAGAGCAAAGGGGGTAAACATTGACACATAAATGCCTCGGATACTTCTTAAATGGATACTCACCAAAATAAATAATCGGCAGTAGTATCGGTGACTCACTCAGAAAATTAAGTATCTCTAAAGAGGACAATACAAACTTTCAATTCACAAAGTACTCATAGCAATGCTCAAAATAAAATACTTGATGATACTTGACGAGAATGTCTCAAGAAAATATAACTCTGTAGCTTTCACGGATGATTAACACAAAGCGGATTTTCTGTACTCACAAGAATTCACTGTCTTTTTCAATTATCTTGACACTGTGTTAACACTACACAATTTACTCTGTGCTTTACTCACAATTGGTGGTCCTTACATGTACAGAGGGTGCTTCCAGCAATTCATTTTCAGAGATTGTATGTCTTAGATGTCCATTTCACCACAGAGTCCTCAACCCACTCAATACTATGGCTGAAAATACACCGGAATTAGTTCTCAAATACATATAACCTCTTTACCAACAATGCATATCAGTCTACACTGTAAGAAATGGTAAGGCGCTATGTAATAAAATTCTCCGTTAAATAAAAACAGGTTGAAAAATACAACAATGAAAAATTTAACACCAAACTTGTGTTATCTCAATAAATTCAATGGTAACAAATTGACTCCAACTGAGAACTAGTCATTTGCTCAGCACACATGAAAGTAACATAGAACACACTAAAAAAAACATGACAACATAGAAGGAACTGGAGGTCAACATTGCAAGTGGAAGGACGATAGACAGACGGGAAATGGAAATGTTAATGGCTGAGTGGAACGGGTGGCGCCAAGTCCTCACTAGACTAATGGCGATTATTCAGTCTCTAGCTGAAAGCAATTTGGCTCTAGAGGGTCAGCCGAAAAACTTAACTGTCAATCCAATGGTAATTTTCTCCAAGAAGTGGAACTTTAAGTAGGGTTGAAAGTAATGCAGGCAATCACAGTCACACTACCTTGGGGTTCCTTGAGGTAGAGAAGTCTACAGGGCTAAATTTGTCATGAATTCTACTCGGAAGACAAACAAATGAACATTTCTTTTGAGGATTATCGAGGTCAATCCTACGACAATGAAGCAAATATGAGAGGAAACATCAAAGGAGTTCAAGCCAGGCTTCTTCAACAGAATTCTCGGCCCTTATTTGTCCCTTGTGGTGCCCATAATTTGAATTTTATATTAGGTGACGCTGCCAAGAGCTCCCTAAATGCAACTTGTTACTTTGGATATTTAACGAAAGTATTCACATTGTTTTCAGCCTCTCCTCAGAGGTGGCAAGTTCTTTTAAAACATGTTAATATTACTCTGAAATCGTGGTCAGACGTCAGATGGGAAAGCCGAGTAAAAAGTGTGGAGGCAATTAGATATCAACCTCCGCAACTCAAAGAAGCGCTTTTGGAGCACAGAGAATCTGCAACTGACCCTGTCGTCAAAGTTGAGGCTTAATCGTTGGCAGAGGAAGTAGGGTCATACCGTTTTGTCATTTGTTCAGTTGTGTGGTATGATATACTCAGCAAAATTCAGCACGTGAGCAAACTAATGCAGTCGACTACGATACAGCTCGGCGTGGCTGTAGATCTGCTCAAAAAGACCAGAGATGATATTGTCAGCTACAGAAATACAGGTTTTGCTGATGCACTAACTATTGCTAAAGAAATCTGTGAAGCGATGAGCGTAGACACGGTGCTGAAACAGAAGACTAAGAACTAAAAAATGTCACTTTAGCTATGAGTGTGCAGACGAACCTGTCAGCGATGTACTCAAGAGGATGGAGACTACATTTTTCAATGTGGTAGTGGATACTGTGATTTCCTCTCTTAATGAGAGGTTCAAGACCTTGGGCGAGGTGAATGAAAAGTTCAAGGTATTGTTGGGGTTCACGGACATGTCTGACAAAGATATTGTCGGAACTCACACATAAGTTGTAACTTATTCACAACTACTGTGATCATCGTGCGCTGATGTCACAACAAATCTTCTACAAAACAACCCCACCAAAGATAAATTCAATTAACACCCTTCCAGAGCAAAGGGGGTAAACATTGACACATAAATGCCTCGGATACTTCTTAAATGGATACTCACCAAAATAAATAATCGGCAGTAGTATCGGTGACTCACTCAGAAAATTAAGTATCTCTAAAGAGGACAATACAAACTTTCAATTCACAAAGTACTCATAGCAATGCTCAAAATAAAATACTTGATGATACTTGACGAGAATGTCTCAAGAAAATATAACTCTGTAGCTTTCACGGATGATTAACACAAAGCGGATTTTCTGTACTCACAAGAATTCACTGTCTTTTTCAATTATCTTGACACTGTGTTAACACTACACAATTTACTCTGTGCTTTACTCACAATTGGTGGTCCTTACATGTACAGAGGGTGCTTCCAGCAATTCATTTTCAGAGATTGTATGTCTTAGATGTCCATTTCACCACAGAGTCCTCAACCCACTCAATACTATGGCTGAAAATACACCGGAATTAGTTCTCAAATACATATAACCTCTTTACCAACAATGCATATCAGTCTACACTGTAAGAAATGGTAAGGCGCTATGTAATAAAATTCTCCGTTAAATAAAAACAGGTTGAAAAATACAACAATGAAAAATTTAACACCAAACTTGTGTTATCTCAATAAATTCAATGGTAACAAATTGACTCCAACTGAGAACTAGCCATTTGCTCAGCACACATGAAAGTAACATAGAACACACTAAAAAAAACATGACAACATAGAAGGAACTGGAGGTCAACATTGCAAGTGGAAGGACGATAGACAGACGGGAAATGGAAATGTTAATGGCTGAGTGGAACGGGTGGCGCCAAGTCCTCACTAGACTAATGGCGATTATTCAGTCTCTAGCTGAAAGCAATTTGGCTCTAGAGGGTCAGCCGAAAAACTTAACTGTCAATCCAATGGTAATTTTCTCCAAGAAGTGGAACTTTAAGTAGGGTTGAAAGTAATGCAGGCAATCACAGTCACACTACCTTGGGGTTCCTTGAGGTAGAGAAGTCTACAGGGCTAAATTTGTCATGAATTCTACTCGGAAGACAAACAAATGAACATTTCTTTTGAGGATTATCGAGGTCAATCCTACGACAATGAAGCAAATATGAGAGGAAACATCAAAGGAGTTCAAGCCAGGCTTCTTCAACAGAATTCTCGGCCCTTATTTGTCCCTTGTGGTGCCCATAATTTGAATTTTATATTAGGTGACGCTGCCAAGAGCTCCCTAAATGCAACTTGTTACTTTGGATATTTAAAGAAAGTATTCACATTGTTTTCAGCCTCTCCTCAGAGGTGGCAAGTTCTTTTAAAACATGTTAATATTACTCTGAAATCGTGGTCAGACGTCAGATGGGAAAGCCGAGTAAAAAGTGTGGAGGCAATTAGATATCAACCTCCGCAACTCAAAGAAGCGCTTTTGGAGCACAGAGAATCTGCAACTGACCCTGTCGTCAAAGTTGTTCAGTTGTGTGGTATGATATACTCAGCAAAATTCAGCACGTGAGCAAACTAATGCAGTCGACTACGATACAGCTCGGCGTGGCTGTAGATCTGCTCAAAAAGACCAGAGATGATATTGTCAGCTACAGAAATACAGGTTTTGCTGATGCACTAACTATTGCTAAAGAAATCTGTGAAGCGATGAGCTTAGACACGGTGCTGAAACAGAAGACTAAGAACTAAAAAATGTCACTTTAGCTATGAGTGTGCAGACGAACCTGTCAGCGATGTACTCAAGAGGATGGAGACTACATTTTTCAATGTGGTAGTGGATACTGTGATTTCCTCTCTTAATGAGAGGTTCAAGACCTTGGGCGAGGTGAATGAAAAGTTCAAGGTATTGTTGGGGTTCACGGACATGTCTGACAAAGATATTGTCGATCACTGCCAAACCCTCAGCAACACGCTTACTCATGGGGGAAACTCAGACATTGATGGAAGGGAACTGGCCATGGAGCTGCAGTGTCTCCCAGATTTGCCTTCCAAGAGAATGACAATGGATTTTCTCACCTTCGTGCACGAAAAGAAACTTACTGAAGTATTCCCGAACTTGTGGGTAGCTCTGCGGATCTGTGCAACTCTCCCTGTAATGGTGTCGGCAGCAGAGCGGAGCTTTTCTAAGTTAAAACTGATAAAAACTTATTTGGGATCCACAATGGCGCAGGAACATCTTAGTGAGTTGGCCATCATCAGTGTGAACATTGCAGTGTCTAGACTCTCTAGTTATCGTATGACGATGTAATCGACGAATTCGCTTCCAGGAAGACAAGAAGAATCAAGTTAACGGTTATAAGCAGGCACGTAGCGAAAACGAGAAAACGGCGGAATCCAGAATGTCATGACATGTTAATTGAATTGCTTAATGTTTAAACACAATAGTAGTTTGATTTTGAGTGTTTCTATACAGTCACTTTTCATGCCATTATTGTATGTTGCTTGTATTGTGCTTAAGAGTATTTGCTAATTAATGTATGTATTAGCAAATTAAAATAGATCAGTGTAAGGTAAACAGTTTCTTCAATATGGTACCTGGATTACTTTGTGGGCAAACCCAATCGTGAAGTGGGAGGCGGGTGGAGATGCCAGCTGTAGTCCTGCTAAGGGCGCCAAATAGGCTGGCGCCGGCCCTGGCAGAAACAATGACTGGTGAGGCACAGTTGATTTTTAGACATCCAAAGGAGATTGAGCAATGGTATCAATGGGAGTGCATACAACTGTATAAATCAATAAATATTCTCACCTACCTGCACATTCCACAAGGAATAATTTCTTCATCTACTGGGTGATTGCGGAAGGTCTCGTAAAAATCATCAGCCACTGCTAACTCGGCCCTCAAGTTTTCGGTCTTTTATATCTCTGTTTTTATATTTCTGAAAGAAAGAGAAGAAATTAATGCTGTATAGCAATAGCAACAGCATTGGCTTTTATAATGCTTTCATCACCAATGCCTATGAGCAAAGGGGATGCAGAACAGACTAATATCATTTACTGTACATATATGCATCACAAAATAAATATATGACGGTTTTGTAGTATTTTACAATACAGCAATATTTAAAGGGCCTGTAGACAGTTTTAAAAAATGTAAATTTGCCATTAAAAATTGAGTACAGAAACATGGTTATACTTTACGATGCTGTTGTGCACTTACATCAGTAGATCGAAAACAAACAAACAAAACATTTTTTGAAGTAGGCCTTAAATACTGTAGGCTACAGTCATATCTGCAAAAAAATTATTATATGATAATATATATAGATATGAGGATTTGTATGCTTCTGACAAGTCTTTTGAGGTGACCCTTCAAAAATTGAACAGACCTGTTTGAAACTTGTCTTGCCAGGTGTGTGGGGGAACCAGCCCCAGACTTGCCCATTTTTCTTGGTGCACGTCGTGGTCGTAAAATGTTGCTATATAGAGTTATATGCTGCATAGCTTGGGTCTAGGACAATTGCCCCCCCCTTGCCAGTGAGTAACTGGCAAAAAACATGGAAATAACCTAACTAACTTGAAATAGCCTAGCCTTACCTAACAAAATATTAAATATGACCGATCTACAATTTTTTTTCACTTGACCATAAATTATGAGTCGTCATTTTGTGTATATAATTATAAAAAAAAAAAACATGAAAATATAGCACTATATCTTAGTGTTTCATGATTGTGTCAGTTATTCACTGGCAAGGAAGGGGGGGGGGATAATTGTCCAGAGGGCAGTTGTCCTATGGGGGGGCAATTCTTCCGAAACCATATAGCTTGTATATAGTCAGGGTAAAAATTGGCATTCCAGATTTCAAACAAGAGAACCTAAAAGTATGGCAGAGGCACCTATTTACTGTTATACCCTCCATACCAGTACCTTCCTTATGAATTCACATTTTTATGAGATAACTCTTAAGAGAACAAATCAATCAATAGGCATATAGATATTATGAAAGTAGACATTAAAAACCCATTTAATTTTATATACAACTCAAAGATATGAAGGAAGGGAAAATGGAGAGGTGAGATGGGAGCTTTCCTTCTGTCTACTTTGGTAGGAGGTGAGCTTCCTCACATGACCCGTCACTTAAATACTCTAATCCTACTTAATTTAGTAACCTAATGGAAAAACACCGTACATTAATAAGCATATACAGTACTCTACTTACTTTCTTTTTAAGTGTCCGTAGCTCCTCTTGAGCTGCTTGGCTGTGATAGGGAGTTGGTCAGAGTTGCTGGCGTTGAATGAGGCAGCAATTTCACCCCAGGCCTCTCTTTTCCGCATTTATTATGTTGCTAGTAGACCTGCTATGCGCTGGGTAACAGATGCTTGGTCACGGTCACCTACGACGAGGCGAAACACGCCTGTTGGACGACGGCTTGTGTTCCCAGAGAAGCGTGCGCCGACGAGTCGGCATGCCGCTCATTATCTGGTGTGAAGTTTGAGTGGGGCAGTATATCTATCAAATGTTAACGCAGGTGTCCCAAGACTAGCTCAACCTTTATCATTTGTGGGGACATGGGCTCAAGCTAGTGAGCGCCAGCGTCGCCCAATGACTATTTCTGCATTTTTCACGGGTGGGACCCACTATCATCAATTGTTAGGTGAGGATAGAATGGGTCACCCTGTTTGCTTCGAGTTTGTGGCAAAAACTATTCTTAGTTTGGTCGAGTACTAGAATGAGACATGCACCCCGGTCATGTTGAACCACGAGCTGTTATCGCATTGACTGGTGGAATAAATCTCGGTCAAGACACGATGGGCCACTGCATTGAAGGCTGCAGCATATGCTGTGACGGAAACTGTAATGGCTACGTGCACGCCCAGAGAAAAACTGCTGCAACGTGTTCGCCCAGAGAAAAGTGGCGACGTGGGCGCCCAGAGGCGCGTGGTGACGTGGGCGCCCAGAGAGGAGTGGCGACGTGGGCGCCCAGAGAGGCGTGGCGACGTGGGCGCACAGAGAAGCTTTGCGGGGCATGTACAGTATGTGTGTGTATATATATATACATATATATATACAGGTATATATAAATATGTTTGTGTAATAAATGTATGTAGTAAGTACCGGAGAACATTCCTTTGTCGCAAAACAGTTTATAAATTAAAGAAAATAATTACAGTGTGTTTAATATATTACAGTATATTATAAATAAACAAATAATTCGGTAAATCTATTTCAAGTAAATGGAAAATAAGCAAACAAATGTTATTTACCAAGACACTTCCCTCTGGCTCAGGGTAAGATGTAGGGGTAGATAACAAGGCTATTTATAGCCCGTCTTTGTGTCTGAGGTGGCCAGTACCCTAATGCACCATAAATAATTCATTGAACATTCATTTTTTGTACATAGTATATTCAGGTGCGAAGCAAGCGTATAAATGAAAGAAAATACTTGCAGTGTGTTACAGTATATTATAAATAAATAAATAAACAAATAAATCGGTAAATCTATTTCAAGTAAATGGAAAAATTTTACTCGGCACCGACATTAGTTCCAGTTACCGGTAAATAGCAGACGCTTCAGTGTTTACACTACA